GGTGTCGTTTGGTTTGTGGGGTATAATTTGTTGAAATTATTGATGACGTTTTCCGTGTGTTGTTGGGATTTTTAGTTTGTTCCTAATAATTTTCATGTAACACATGTTCAGGTAGCAGTGGTAATAGGAATGGTAAACGGAACATTGGCACGAGGTCACCGCAAACGTCGACAAGGTTGGCCAGTAAAAGACAATCAAAACTCTCATTCAAGAAACAAAACGAGCCCTATGATACTGTGCGGAAAGCTAACGTTGATCCGACGAAGTTAATGTACTGATCAAACATATCAGGACTGATTACCACAATGCTGGAATTGGAATTACGTGACAGACACATTAGACAGTTGCAGAAAACCCCGTTCTGGATGATGATTGATGCTATTCGTGTTCACGAGCTTGATCCTAAATCGTTCAAAAAGTGTGATACGATGGTATGTCGGATTATACAAACGTATAACCTTGAAGATGAGAAGTTCCACATTGTTGTGGAACAACGACATCAGGTTGATATTTGGGGTTCAATGTGGGAAGGAGAAGTTAGATTTGACACAAGGTGGAAAAAGGCCCTCTGATTTCATGCAAAGACGTTGTGCAAATGTGAGTCGAATATCTTCAAAAGTTATAAAGGATTTGCTGGCAGAAGCAATCTGTGGTTGTGCAGAGCGTGACAAAGAAGATGTGGCGAAATTACTGTGTCTTTACGTTTGTGCGAAGTTATTTTTCGCAACGGCCGGCGAGCATATAGGTTGGGCGTTTGTTCGTGTGATCGACAAACTGGACACGTTAAGACACTATGACTGGATTGCAACAATAAGGAACACGTTGGTTGGCTCACTGAATGAGATGCACAACAGACCAGAGAAGGTGACTGGTTGCGTTGTATCGTTGCTGGTACGTACAGTAACAACATGACCAGCACATACATGATTCAATAAACATAAAACACAGTCTTGAGTCTTTTACGCGTATATTTAATGGTTGTTTGGTGGTTTAATTTCAGTTTTTGATTTGTGAACATTCAAACATCATCACTCCAGAACGGCCAAACGTGACACCAAGGTTTTGTCGATAGAACATTGGAGCAGCTGTGGGGAAACTAAAAGTAATAAATTTGTCGGCAGAATGTTGCATTGAGGTATGGAATAAAACCGTTTAAATTTTTTTTAAAAAATTTTCAATGCAAAATTTGGAGTTAATGTGTGTTTTATTTTTAATTTCTTGTAGATGCAGTGTGGAAAACTTGTTGGGACAATTACAGAGTGTCATATTTTCAAATTGGCTGCTGCTGCAAATGAACCAAAAGAAGGTGGTAGAATTAGGATGGATGTGGATACAGGTAAAGTGTGCGACGGGCGTGGGGCTGTTGTTGAGACAGATAGTGTTGGAAGCATTGAGCCAAGCTTTAATTGTTGGTAGCCGGACACAGCAAATGGTGGTAACATGAAAATGGAGGGGGGGGAATGATGATGAGAATAAGAATAATGGTACACCGACTAGCAAGGAAAAAGTGGGTGGGAAGCTGGCGGCAGGTGGAGAAGTGTGGCTGGTATTGTTCCCGGATCTTCTAGAACTGTCTAGCACTCCGGATGGTGAAGCCTTGGGTGAGGAACAAGGGGGGATGAACGATGAGTTCATAACTTGTAAAGTCAGAATTACTAAGTTGGAGAGTGAAATTAATGTTAAAGACGTACGGGTACGTGAACTGGAACAACATGTCGAAACACTGGAGAAACTTTTCGAGAGGCATGTTGGTAATTTGCTTTCAGACTTGCATAGTGTGATTGTCGAGAAGGATTCTGAAATTGCTCGACTCAGTAAGCTAGCTGATCGATTGGAGTAAAAAATAAGCAATTTGGAGGATAGTCTTGATGATCTTGAGGTGCATGAGATAACACAATTTGTTGTGAATGATGGATCCAATCAACGAACACTGAGTAACAGTCTGTCAGGGAAAGTGAGTCGTTCTGGCAACGTGACGAGTGCCGAAAGTGCGCAGCACTCTGCGTGTCCTGCAGGGCAACCCGAAGACGTTGGCATCACCGAATTAGGAATTGTTGAGAACGAAGCTGGGATTAAAGATTTGACGGTTGACTTTGCCCATGAGAATGTACATTCAACTGTGCAAGGGGTGGACGGTAGCTGCAGTCCCCGAAATGCACAGGCAGTTCCAGGTGGTAATGTAGAAAATGGCGTAACTGTCGTTGACGTGGAAGCTGGTTCTGAACACACAACAGCTGTACCAAGTTCTGGGCCGAAAATTACGTCACTAGTCAAGCGGGTGAAGAACAAGGCAAGACGGGAATTTAGGTTATCTGACTACGAATATCCTGGCATATTTAGGCGGCCACAAGTAAATGCCAATGTGAGACTAGGTAAATCGTTTGAGCTCGGGGTGATTTACAGTGTTAAGGACGTCGAGGTGGAGCGTAAAACTTGGAATGGTTTTGGTATGAATAGAAGGCACACTGTGTGGAATATGTTGAAGGATGAAGATAAGCAACTACTACAGAAAATGTACAGTTTAGAGGGGGACGAGTGGGTTGTTCGTATGGAATGTTCTAGTGTTTGACATGTAGAAGTTGTAAATTCAAATTTATGCTGGTTCTTAAATTTGGTTTATGATGTGTAGGTTAATAGTATGGGACAGCGGACACAATGGAATACAAGTGCATTTTAGAGACATCAAAGATTTGGTGCAGTAGAACTCCATCCATGGGAATGTAAGTTGGTCTCGTATAATTTACCGTTGATTTTTTTTTTGGAAGAAAAAACCCCCTATGTACATCTAAACATTGCTTCATTCGTGTCATGGTTGATGTGGCTGTGACAAAATGGCAGATGAATTTAACAACACACAGTCACGAATATGTAAATGCAGTCACAAAATGGTAGTACCACACAGTGGACATAAATTTACAAATTCTTATTACTAGTGCACTGGAATTGTAATGGGTAACATATGGTGTAGGTAATCGATGCATACGCTGCAATGTTGACTGAAATGCATAAGACGGTGTCTGGTAGACCAGAATATGTTGGCACATCATACATTTACACTAGCGTATGCTCGGTATGTATGGTAACTATCGTTTGATTGCACGAAATCTGAAAATAATATTTGTCGTAATGAAATCTGATACGACTAGGGTGGTTTTGGACAATTGTGCAGGATATGATGCGAAATAGTAACGCTGTATCACGAATGAAGTACTTGAACGTTCACATGAAGGTTGCGCGAGGTTGCAGATACATACTTTTTCCAATCTACAACGCCAACCATTGGACAGTCACGGCACATGATTCAGAAAGTGGGAATTGGAAACATTACAACTCAATGAGGCCAAGATGTGGAGTGCGCGATGAGCATTACAATGAGGCTCTAAAAGTTGTAAGTATTGTTTATCAATTTTAGTTTTGAATGTGTGTAATTCGCAAATTGTAATTCTGGAAGTTTTAATGTTACCGTGTACACAACTACACTAACATGTGGAAAATCAACAAAAACAATGGGTGGCCGACCACCACAACAAATTTGTGAAGCCAAGAGTTACAGCTGCGGGTGTTGGGGTAGACCTGTTTGATGGGACTTTTGTATCTGTTATGGATTGTCCACAACAAGTGCCAGAGTCGTAAGTAATGTTTATTTTAGTTTGAGTTTATTGTTTTGATGATGTATTGTGTAAGTGATGTTGGTAATGGTGTTTGTGAGTGCAGGTCGAATTGAGGGATATACGTGTGCTTCATAATCAGGCAGTACATTTGTGGGGCAGAAGTGAATACTATGATGGACGGTCTGACCCCAACTAGCCTACGAGCTGCGATGGTGGACATGTTCTTAAGTGACCCGGGCAGAGGACTCCACGAGAGGACATTATAAGAGGTGTTCATGTTAGTCATTGCAGAAGGGGCGACAACAGTATTACAATGTTTATTTTTTGATGTTTTATGGACGTACATAAATGTTTTGCTTTTCTGTGAACACATAACGTTATGAGGGGAAAACTGGTTTTGTAGTTGTCGTACGTTACTTTTTTTTGTCATGGTGAATGCCAACGGTTTCATCGTTGGTTAGGATCTGTTAATTTTTTGGACATAAATGTTGATATTATTTGGTAAGTAATTGAAATAGTTTCTCCTATTCCATAATATCAGGTTTGAACATTATTGTCCTTGTCATTCAAATGTTGATATTACTGGTACGTAGTTGTCTTTGCGTTACCATATGGTTGAACTGCGATGGTAATGTCCAACTAATGTTAATAGTATGTTACATTGTAATGTGCATGTGCATTATATTGTTTTTAAATGCCAGATGGACCTGGGTATGTAACTATGGCATGATCTACACAGAAGTTGACATGCTGACTGTGAGTTTGGGAAACCTGATTTGCCACCATGGGATTATGCGTGGTTTGATGTATACGGAAGTTGACATGCAAAGACAATGAGCATGTCGACTACGTGTTTAATATGGCATGCCAAAAGATTAATTTGTCATTGCCAGTTTAATTAGAATTGTGGAAACACCATTTGACCATAAGATAATATTACATTGGCATCCAATTTGTTTAAAACAGTGGGTATTGGGTTCATGTTTTGCATAATGACATTGAATTGTCAACAGACACCAAAACATGAAAAATACATTGCCATTCCGGTTATTATTTGGCAGCGTCAGTTTTGGGTGAATGTTTGGTATGATGTGCACAGATTTGAAAACAAACGGCACACATTATTATTACGGTAAAACAACATGAAATTGATGCCATAATATAATGACCACGGTGGTTGGGTGTTTAAAATGCAGTGTGTTCAACAGTGGGAACCGAAATGGTAGCTGGGTTAGAGAAAAAAGTATATCCTACCAATTTGATTAAACCAATAACAGAAAGTGAATGACTGATAAAAAAAAATCTGGAAAAAAATTCTGAAAACAAAATATGCTAGTCCAACAGAACCCCAGTTTGTTGGAGAAAAAATGAAATCATATGACAGACCATCTATAACGGCTCTTTGTATGTCTTCCTATTGTGATTGCCCAATTTTCCGCAACGTCCACAACGTATACGTTGCACTGCCTCGCCCTTGGACGAAATTCTCTTGCGTTTGGGCTGACCGGGAGGACGCTTAGCCGTCAGCAGTGCTATCAAACACTCAGTTGGGTTAAACGTCGGCCTGTCCACTGTTGGGATGGGGTATATAGTTCCGCTATAAATAGCTTGAAATGTATCAATGCAAAATGCAGAGTCTATCGAATCGTAAATGTTTCTCCCACTATTACGGAATGCAACAACAGCATGGGAACACGGGAAACCGTTTATCTGCCACTGCAAAAAAAGAACATGTCTGCTTGATGACATCAACCAACACCGATGGGTGGGAGTGGACCTCGTACACATCATCATTAGCCTGACTCACACACCATGCCCTGCTGTCGTTATACGCTGCCACCAATTTTTTCTCCATTTTCGAGCATATTACACTGGCCCATTTAGTGCATTTAACTCTACGATCCGACATCTGCTCCATTATTTGACCCCTTATCATATCGACCAATCTAGTGATAGGAAGATGTTGGGCCTCGCCGACCCAATTGTTGAAAGATTCAGCAACGCTTGAGCATATCTTCCCGTACCGTCGGCCCTTAAAAAATAGCCAAAATCAACGTTAATAGAGCATAAATTGTAACAACAAAAATAAAACGTACTGCAACAAAACATGTGGGAATTTAAAAATACTCCATAACCCATTAAACGGACCGTGAAGTACCTGAAATGCGCATTACACCAGTGTTTTGGGTGTAAGTCTTTCATAAAATCTTCAATGACAGCTGGGTTGGCCTTCTTCAATACCTCTAATTTCTCATTAAAACAAGTAACAGTGGGCGCATATGCACATTCCCGCAACTTGCGCATCAACCCAATTTTGTGCGATGCATTAACATATTTCATTCGATCCCGCAAGTTCATTTGGAGATGCAACAAACAATATGCATGATGCACCGAAGGAAAAATTATTGGCATAGAGTGTAATAATCCGACGTGGCGGTCAGATATGAAAGTTAATGTCCGCCCGCCCCCAACAACTTCTTTCAAATTACGAAGAAACCATTCCCAATTGGCTGAATTCTCGGAATCAACAATAGCAAAGGCTATCGGAAACAATCCTATGACCAAACATACAACATAAAATAGTTTGCCATGAGTAAAAGTCATACAACCATCCACACAAAACAAGTGCGACACATTTGGGGAAATAAAAATGAATAAGCCTACCATTGTGTTTCACATTACAGTTCAGTTTAATTTGTGGACACCCTATTTCAATGTTGTTAATTTTTTTTTTTTAAAAAAAAAAACCTCATTTGGAACATATGAAAAATAGAAGTAGCTGTTTACTAGAACGTGCACAAAATATGAAAATAATGGAATAAGATAACACACCATTACCTTGATTGGCGTCTTTAGCAGTAGCTGCAAGCAAATTACTTTTAAATCTACCTTTCAAAAACGTTCCATCCAAAAACAGCAGAGGACGGCAATGATTGAACCCATCTATATAAGTGCGGAATGATATGAAATACCTAACGAAGCTCCCGATTTTTTGGTCAAACTTAAGGTTAATGTAACTGTTTGGGTTTTTTTTGCATAACGGAATTGCTATACCACCTGAGTTGGTCGAACGACGTTGCGTGATCCCCATACACTTCGGCTCTCGCTTTCTCAACACCCAACCATGCCACCCGGTAACTAATGTCCAAACCATACTCGTTTTTCAAATCAAACACAACATCAGTGGGGCGCGTCAATGGCTGATCGCGCACCCGATCTACAACAACGGTAGACACCAAATCAGACCCCGTATGAGGATTCCTACAAGTACGTACAACAGCCCCACAAGTATGCACACTATCGAACCTCTTAATACATAACACCCCGCTTGACAGTAACATCCTCGAATGAACTGACCATGAACAATCTGTTGACGCCACAAACTTACACACTACTATAATTTGAACATAATCATTTTTAATGTACTTGAATTGAAATCCACGTTCAACGGCATACTTACACAAAACTTCGTGGAATTCAGTTGCTCCACCATTAAAACATTGTCCCACATGGGTAATCCCATACGCCCATTGCGCCGACAAAAACGTCTTCGATTTGTTCAGACAATATGTTGGTAACAAGTCCATCTTGTCGTTCACGCACCCATTCCGACTAACATGTTGGGAAATTCCCCCATCCTTCGTGTAGCCCAGCACGCCACAATTACGCCCCACACCAACACTACTTTTCTGAATGAGGACATCAATGTGATTTATCCCAAACGACTTAGCAAGGCACAACATGTTTTGAATATCGTCGTCACTATCCACCTTAAACTTCTTATACCCGAGAAAATCGAACAACATACACATCACACCCGGCACCAATCCATCGAACTTCCCACAAATATCATCAACAATCTTTACGAATGACGAATCCTGATGTAACCGAATAAAAACATTTACTAAACCATACGAACACACCAACAAAATCCTCCCGTCCATACCAGTACGCATTTGGAGAACCCATTATTGTGGCAACATACCCAGGAAAACAAAATAACAGAACAATTTTTGTTTACATGCAATTGGTATAACAAAAATGGGGGGAAAAAAAAATTTAAAAACAACAACCACACACCTGTTCCGATTCCTTAACCACAGCAGTGCCAACACAAGAAAACAACACCTTCAACTGTACAATTACAGTGCGAAGAATAGTAGTGGTCACCGGGAAAAATGACGCCCCCCACCGGAAAAAATGGTGCTCACCGTTTTCTATCTCCGAAAAACAATGGTAAAAACAATGTTAATCAAGAAAAACAATGGTAATCAATAAGAAATGGTGGAAAACAATGTTAATCAATACAAAAACAGGGTTAATCAAAATACAGAACAATGAATAATGTTAATCAATAAGAATGGTGGTCACCGTTTTCGGTTAGATCACAGAATTGGTGAAAACAATGTTAATCAATAATAAAACATCCCTATGAAACGTTGACATTACGAAACCCTATGGAAATCATAATCAAATGTTTAAGGAAACAATCATCAAAAGGATATTGATATAAAAACAAATGGAATCAAATCACACCCCCAAAAATCTGGCAATATATTAGGACTAAATGGTATACAAAAAAACTTAAAGGGCTAAATGGTTTAACTTTTTACAGGATAGGATTATGGGTAATTTTTCCTTAATAAAATGATAATTATTTATTATTTTTATATTTCTTAATCAAGTTAATTTTTAATTTTTCTAAAAAAATTCTAAAACAAGTACTTAACAACTATTGAGTGACTTGACATGATGTATCAGCCAAATATCATCATTTCTCTACATAACACAGTTAGGGGCATTTTAGTCAATTTACTATTTCTATCAACGGCTTAATTGCAATGGAACGGGATGTAATTTTTGAAATCTCAGGAAAAATTTGTAATTTTACTAAAGCTCAAGGGGGTGTAGGTAATTTGGCCTTAAAAAAAAATTCAATAGTTATAATTATATGATTGTTTTTATAAAAATATGAAAAATTAAAATTTCATCAGAACATATTTAACTATGCACTAAAATAGTGTTGTTGGTATTGTTTCCTACCATTACTGCTGCTACTACTTTCATTCTTATTTTTTTCTCCATTATGAATATTACCAATGTCTTCATTTGAGAAGTGGGTTGACTTTTTACTTTTTTTTTGACTATTTTAGCTTGGGCTAAAAAGTTCCGTTTGAGATGAACTTTTTGACTTTTGTGAGAGAAAAATTAAAATGATTATGGTTTGGATGTAACATTTTATTTTATTAACTTTTTAACCTATTTATTATTTTACTAAGGATAATTTTTTTTGATACCACACGTGCTATGAACTTCAATTATAATAAATCAATTCAAAATGATAATATCACTCTAATTTAAAACTTCACATGGAAAGAGGAACAAAATATATAAAGAAAACTGAAATAAATAACTAATAAATTTCAAATCTTTTATTTCTTAATAAATTTATCATGAATATAAGCTTTCCACCTCATTCACAGAATTGGGGTGGTGCCTTCAAGAGTTGTCACCTCATTCTCTAATATATTTTCAAAATCAACCCTATTTAAAGAATAGTTCAAATCAGTTTACTAAAATATTAAATATCAATAGGAATAGTTCAAATCTTCCCAATTTGTTCACATTTTCAATTAACTCTTTATAAATAAATGAAATAAAACTAACCCAAGTTACTTTGAAGGCTAACTTTATTGTTGATACCAAAATATCAGGGATGCCGGAAAAAATGGTGCTCACCGTTTTCTATCTCCGAAAAACAATGGTAAAAACAATGTTAATCAAGAAAAACAATGGTAATCAATAAGAAATGGTGGAAAACAATGTTAATCAATACAAAAACAGGGTTAATCAAAATACAGAACAATGAAATAATGTTAATCAATAAGAATGGTGGTCACCGTTTTCGGTTAGATCACAGAATTGGTGAAAACAATGTTAATCAATAATAAAACATCCCCACGAAACGTTGACATTACGAAACCCTATGGAAATCATAATCAAATGTTTAAGGAAACAATCATCAAAAGGATATTGATGTAAAAACAAATGGAATCAAATCACACCCCAAAAAATCTGGCAATATATTAGGACTAAATGGTATGCAAAAAAACTTAAAAGGCTAAATGGTTTAACTTTTTACAGGATAGGATTATGGGTAATTTTTCCTTAATAAAATGATAATTATTTATTATTTTTATATTTCTTAATCAAGTTAATTTTTAATTTTTCTAAAAAAATTCTAAAACAAGTACTTAACAACTATTGAGTGACTTGACATGATGTATCAGCCAAATATCATCATTTCTCTACATAACACAGTTAGGGGCATTTTAGTCAATTTACTATTTCTATCAACGGCTTAATTGCAATGGAACGGGATGTAATTTTTGAAATCTCAGGAAAAATTTGTAATTTTACTAAAGCTCAAGGGGGTGTAGGTAATTTGGCCTTAAAAAAAAATTCAATAGTTATAATTATATGATTGTTTTTATAAAAATATGAAAAATTAAAATTTCATCAGAACATATTTAACTATGCACTAAAATAGTGTTGTTGGTATTGTTTCCTACCATTACTGCTGCTACTACTTTCATTCTTATTTTTTTCTCCATTATGAATATTACCAATGTCTTCATTTGAGAAGTGGGTTGACTTTTTACTTTTTTTTTGACTATTTTAGCTTGGGCTAAAAAGTTCCGTTTGAGATGAACTTTTTGACTTTTGTGAGAAAAAAATTAAAATGATTATGGTTTGGATGTAACATTTTATTTTATTAACTTTTTAACCTATTTTATTATTTTACAAAGGATAATTTTTTTTGATACCACACGTGCTATGAAATTCAATTATAATAAATCAATTCAAAATGATAATATCACTCTAATTTAAAACTTCACATAGAAAGAGGAACAAAATATATAGAGAAAACTGAAATAAATAACTAATAAATTTCAAATCTTTTATTTCTTAATAAATTTATCATGAATGTAAGCTTTCCACCTCATTCACATAATTGGGGTGGTGCCTTCAATAGTTGTCACCTCATTCTCTAATATATTTTCAAAATCAGCCCTGTTTAAAGAATAGTTCAAATCAGTTTACTAAAATATTAAATATCAATAGGAATAGTTCAAATCTTCCTAATTTGTTCACATTTTCAGTTAACTCTTTATAAATAAATGAAATAAAACTAACCCAAGTTACTTTGAAGACTAACCTTATTGTTGATACCAAAATATCAGGGATGATACAACAAACCGAAACTACTTTCACAACCAGCTGTGTTGTCAGAGGTCCTGAAAAAGAGAAATGAATTAAAAAATAAACCATGAAAATAGTGCATTAAAATACACTGGTCTTTCTTAATCAATAAACATAAAATTCATAACCATGATCGAATTTTGGGGTGGGGGAACTAAAGTCAAGTATATAAAAATTAAGAGGCAACAATACTATAACATCCTCCTTCTTCAACCCACTAATAAATTATTCTTTTTCAATGTAACTCTAACATCCTGCACAATAGACACTAAATTTACACAAAAATCCATGTCAAGCATATGTGACTTCCACCAAAATATGCAAAAATACTAAATTAAATTATTGCACTTAAATTTAGTGAATTTTCAAGGGCACTTTACAGTTCACACTCAATAACCATCCATAAGGTCCAATCTTTTACATAGATAAGAGACTTTACAAAAATATTAGAAATCCATAGAAGTACATATCAGTAGGAAGTTTTACAAAAGTGGTTAATATCAAGGATACAAAAGTGGTTAACATCAAGCTTTACAAAAGTACTTTTTGTCAACTTTACAAAATGTATGCCATATTATGTCTTCAAACTTGAATGCCTCTAAAGTACTTGGATGTCTCTACAAAAACTTGGAAGCCTTTAGAAAAAGTACTTGGACATCTCTAAAGTGCTTGGACGCCTTCAAACTTGTTTTCCATCACATTTTGAAATGTCTATGTATCAACTTCTGTGTACTTTTTTCAGTGAGGAGCATGCACAACAATCTAATATTTAAAAAACAATAACATTAGCATATTGAAACAATACAAAAAATAGCTATTGAAACAATATGGACTAAGGATATCTTATTACAATTCCATCGGAGTAATGTAGTCTTATTTATCCTCTTGAGCTCCATAGCTTTTTCAACCCAATCCAACAAAAGTTTGACTTGATCATTATTTTAAAAAAAGGATAATTAAAATACACTTTCAATTTATTTCCTTCTTTTTATCATTTGTATTCTTTTTTAAACTTTAATTACTTCCCTCTTCTATTTGGAAAATTTTCTCTAGTGTATTGTTCTTTAAGGATGCATAATTTAGTTTGGAAATTAGTAATATTACGGATTAAAAGTACCATGCCCATCTTCACAAATTTTACAGTAAAAAAAAAATTACACATAAATTATGCATGATTCAAAATATCATATTCCCCCATGATTTTCTTTACACATGCTCCAAAACAAACTTGAAAAGAATCATCCCACTTGTGAATTTTTTATTCCCTTTCTTGAGTTGTTTTCCTTTCCTTTTTCTTTAAGTTTCTCATTTTCCTTTGCCCTTACATTTGCCTTTGCCTTTCAAAAAATAAGCAAAAATTATTAAGAAAAAATATGAGAAGCAAATAAATTTGATTAGTGAGCTTACCCCACCAACATAGAGGACATTGAAGTCCCCATTCATTATGGAGCACAACACTGATATTTCTATTTTGAAGAAACCGAACCTATGTATATATAGAAATGCATTTGAAAGGTAAAAGAAAATTTATATTAAGGAATGTAGATTAAACAAAAAATGAGTATAGAGATCTAATATTATTGTTTCCTCTAACATATCATCTACCTGTAAAGAATAATACAAAAGCATTTGATTATGAGAAAAAATATAAATAATAAGAAAGTCTCGATTCATAAACTATAAACTAAACGTA